ACAAAACGAAGTAAAATTATGGTTCAAATATTCTTAATGTAGAATCACATTTAAAGACTCAAAGTGTTATAACTGTTTGCAAAAAAAATTTCATTCTTTTAAATTGAAATATATTAAAAATCGATAACGTCACTGATGTTCATTCGCTGTTTATTCCATTTGCTAGATATCCTGCCGTGAGCATCACACAAAATTATTCTTTAAAATTTTCCCTATTCACTGTTTAAAATGTTCCAGCTGTTAACGCAAATTTATTCCTATTGGGTGAAAATTTTTCCTCTTTATTTTTTATTTTATTTTATTTTCCTTTTAATTTGATGTCCAAAAAACAAATTAAATGAACTGCAAAAACTGTCATGGAATGTGCTCAAAGGCAAAATAAAAATTCCATGATAAAAAGATTGTTATGTTTATGTGGATATGCAATAAAGCAAAGTACATAGGAAAACAACAATATAAGAGAGATAAAATTAAATTTAATAGACATGGTAACCAGGCATCGACACGTGTCGTAAGAATGTTAGCAAGTCATCAAAGCATATGTTTTTCATGTTCATGCCCTTCTTCTGTTTCAATTCAATGTATATTTAAATGCCGGAAAATTAATAAAACAGAATTTCAATTAAGAAATAAAGAGTAGTAAAATCAAAATTTATCATGTTGTCATGCAATATTTAACATTAATACTTTTATAATAAGAAGGAAAAGTTGTAGTAACTACAGGGATATTCTGACACGCTTCTTCTTTCGACAAGTATAATCTTAAAATTTTTTTTAAATAATTATTACATTTTTTATAGTGGCACGAGTTTAAAAAAATTCTATTCTTAGATTTAAGATCAAATTGCCGTTAAAGATGTGAACGGGCCAATTAAGCGCATTTTCTTCGTAAATACAATGTATAATCTACAACCAGGGTTTGTTAAAGGATCGATTAATGATCGGTACGAATGATCAAAAATTTGATCGAAGATCGAATCGATCAATGATATTTTTGATCATATGCTGAGTAAGATTGTCACGATCAATAATTGATTCGATCTACGTCGTTCGAAAAATTTACAATTTTTTGATTGATTGATCGACGATCAAAAACGATCTTACTAAGAATGATTAAAATTGATCGTCGCTCTATTAATCAACTTTATGCTTTTGATTTGGGTTTGTGGAAAACAGCTTTTTTTGAAAAACAGTCTGTTTTCAGTTTTTGATTTTTAAAAACAGCTGTTTTTCTGTTTTTCTAGAATTCAAAACAAACTGAGTTATCCTAAGTGTTTCTCTATGATAATGAATGTTTGTGGTGGTTATAAGCAGTTAAGCATACATTATAGAGCTAAGAATTATTATTTCTTAATTTTTCGTTAATTTACTGTAAAAAAATAAATAAATATAAAAAATTCAAAAAAAAAATCAAAAAAGATATTTATACTTTTAAGTAACATTGCATTGTTGCATTGTAAAAGTTCCATAAACTTTAATATTTTATTTAAAATAATCAAAAAAATCTTTTTTTAAAAAAAATCTTGAAAAATTGTTGATTATATTTTTGAACTTTAGTAAATGCTACAAAAGGTTCAACAAATTTAAAATTTCGATTGCAAAATTAGTAATGATTAATCATATATTTGATAGTTATTTCAAACCTTTAAATATTAAAAAAGTAAATAAATTTCAATTTGGAATTCTAGAAAAATGTATTAAGTTCTTCAAAAAATTAAGAAATTTTTTTTTTCTGTGAATTATATGTAAAAAAACGTAGTAAAATGAAAAACAGAAAACAGAACTGTTTTTGAGACCTGTTTTCTGTTAATAGATTTTTGTCGAAAAACAGCTGTTTTTCTGTTTTCTGTTAACAGGTTCCTCAAAGCCTACTTTTGATCGAATTTCTTTCGATCTTGATTGAAACGATCACGATCATGATTGTTGACGAACCCCACCTATAACCACTTGTTCAAAATTAAAAAACTTCATATAACGGGTTTTTTGATAATCATATATCAACTGTTAATTGCAAAAACCTTGAAGTCTCTAAGAGCTTCCAGTTGCGAGCTTTGTGGCTACCAGCCAGTCAAACTAGAACACTTATCATATTGTGTCCTAAAGAAAATGCTCAATAAAACACCAAACTTCTATATTCAAAATTTTTTTGCGACCCAATACTTGATGTCAATGAATTCAAAATGATAAATTTTTACCTTTTGTTGTTTTAATATACATTTGTAATGAAAATATCTTGTAATTTTCATATATTTAAATTATTTATAACCTCATAATCATAAAAAATTATTTTATTAACCTACATGAATAGCATTTGTAATACAAGCACTCCTTACTTTTGCTTTAAAAAAAAGTACAATAACATAAATAAACGCAATCTCCCCTCAAAATGGTAAGCAAAAAAAAATGAAAAACTTTTTGGATAAGAAAAAATCAAGAATTTTTTTCGTGCTGCTATCCAATTTTCGTGAATATCATCAACATGGTTGTAAATGGAAATTAGGTTTTAAAATTTTAATAATGCAATAACCATCATAACATGAAAATGATATCCGTGAAATATAAAAATTGCAAATGATTAAATAAAGAGCATTACGTACTGCTGTGTTAGGGTTGTAATAATAAAATAACAAGAAATTTTACTTAAGGAAGAAGTTTCGAAAAGCACAGAAATTTATTTCACGAGCTAATATTCAAAGACAACAAAATGTCAAAAAGAAAACAGTATTTTTCCTCAACAACAAGATTCCTTAATTAACGTTTCATGTTTTCTCGTAGCTCGATCCCTTAGAAAAATATAATCAATCAAAAATACGTCAATAGCACCCATAAAAAAATCACATTGATTAATGAACATTTTCTCTTACTTTTTTGTTATCTTAAATTTATTTCAAAAATATCATGATTGAAGATGGAAAATTACCATAGATGAAGCTTTTTTTCGATTTTCAGCTCATCATTCATTCTACCATCATAGATTATAATGATGACAGCAATAATACGATTATGAAAGTCTATCCTATAAAAAAACACAGATTTTAATGGAGATTTTATAACTATGTTAAAAAGCTTCTGAATTGATTTTTTGTGTCCATTAAATAACATCTTCTTATTAATAATTCACTCATTTACTTTAAAGTATAAGTAAGAGCATAAATGGCATCATTTCAATACGTGGGCGAGAATTTGCTTATACTTGTATTGGAAATTGTTAAACATCCAGTTATAACGGAAATATGTGAGCAAGTGCTCCTGGGGATCCCCGATTTGAATAGATTATATTCAAGGGTGTGGTACTGATGAAATAATCAAAAAATTATCAAAAATGATCAAAATTTATCAAAAATGATCAAAATTTAATTCTTCAGTTGTACACCCTTGATTCTATTTCAATAAGATTTTCTACATTAAAATATCTTTTCAAATAGAAGATTCCCTGGACAAAAAAAACTATTAAAGTTTATAAAAATTGATTAATTTTTTGGCATCAATAAAATCATGAATAAAAACATGAATTAAATTTATTGTGAGATTTAATAATGTGAAAAGTATGTCTCGTGATACTATCTAAAATTTTCAATAAAAGAGAAAAGGCAAATTACTTTAGCAAAGGTAATTTTTAGCATAAACAAAAGTCAACATTTCCGTTTCTTTAATACCAGAGGAGCAAAGAGTAAGATTCTAATCTCTCTAAGGATTATATTAGATTAAATGCTCCCAGTTATTTTGCTTTCATTGTTTCCGAGACGATTTAATTTCTTTGCACAAATGTTCTTCTTCGTCTTTTGTTTCTCTTTTTTCTTATATAATATTTTACAATAAGAAAGAAAATTGAAATGGTAGAAAAAGTTTTCCGAGTAGAAGCAAAAACAATTTTCTTTCTGAATTCCATTTGAATTCATAAATAATTAATTTATGGAAAATTTCAAAAAGCTCTTGTCATGCAAATTCAAAGATGAGCATATGAAAAATAATATTGAATAAACTTTTTTCGCCTCAAACTCTGTTCAAGAGAATGATGACAAAAATTTTCTCAAATGTTTTTTTAATTAAGTTTCAATTATTCAAACCAGAATAAAAACAAATCAATACGATAGTAGAAGGGGAAGAATCTTCTTCAACCTTTTTACTAGCTACATTGTATTATTCCTTTCTCCTGGAAATTATTGATGAAAACAGAATTGAAATTTTTTGATATGTGAATCACGTCTCGGACATGTGATTGACATCATTTACTTCATGGGTTGAGATGAGAAGAAACGCTTTAGTCATAAGCTTGAATATAGCATTGAATAATTTTCAATACACCTAAAAATTGATTTTTATGATTTCAAAATCTCATGAAATTGCTTCCACAAAAAAGGGTGCATTTTTCTATGGATCTTAAATTTTAACAAATTTTACTCTGAACTCTTTACTTCATGTAAGTTTTAAAAGTTTGCTCTAGGTTTAGGAACAAAAAAAAATATTCCGACGGAAAACAATCTGATGTGCAAAATTTAAAAAAATCGATATAAAACAAAGGATTTCATAAAATATTTTTGAACCATTTATTTACGAGCACCTTTTATTAAAGGAAAAATGATTCAGTTATTAAATGAAAATGATCATTTAAGGCCTTTAATATAATTATAATTCCCCTGTTGTCTTCTGTGGACAAGCATGTTGACCTCCTCCCTTTGAACTGTTTTAATACAAGAGACACACCTAACAAAACGTTGTAATCAATAAAAATTTATTTGCAACGTCATTTTGCTACGTTTATTGTTATATACACGTTCACTTTCATATAGATCCATTCTGTAGGCCGTAGACATATAAAATATTAATTTCTTTCCTGTTAACACAGCTGATTCAAGTCAGCGTGCTCTTTTTCTTCACAGTTTCTTATGTTTTATTGCTTAACATTTTTAAAGGATAATCTTTTTTTTTTTGATTAATTTTATTATAAGTATTGTCACACATTTTTTGCGCATTTGTCAACGAATTAAATTTCAACTTACCTGCACACGAGATTCTGTCAATCCAATTCTCATTGCAATCTCCTCTCTCATGAAAATATCTGTAAATATAAGTCTATATTAGCAATAATAATATTATATAAAATATATAAAAATTATTGAAAATTCAGGACTTTAATGCAGCGTGGGACAAACTATATGTCACAATATTATAATCCAAAATTATCCAATATTATCCAAAAAGTTTGGCAGACACTGCTTTATGGTCTAGACTCTAGATAAGTAAATCAGCTGAGAAAACCTAGGAATTTTGTGTCAATTAAATTGAAGTTACCTGGATAATGTGTTTTGCTAAAGCACCTTTCTAGCTCATTCAGCTGAGCAGGTGTAAATCTCGTCCTATGTCTTTTCTGTTTGTTATTTTTGTCATTATTCTGTAATATTGAAAGTACATGTAACTTTTTGAAATAAAAACTTAAAACTATTGGAACGTGCATCATTTAATTACTTGATCTTGGTGCATGTTGTGTGAATCACAGAGGCCACTGGATACATGCAATCGTGTATTATTTGTTGTGTCTGATACGTTCGTTGTTTGACTTTGCAATTGGCCAAAATTATTTGATCCATGCAAAACAGTCGTTTTAGGTAAATCACAATCTTTTTGGCTTCCTGAAATGCCATTAAAAAATAAGTCTAAAATTTTTCATTATTCCAAACAATGAGACATTTTTTTAAGGGAAGGAAGAGAGAAAAAAAAATAAAAGAAATAAATTCATTATTAGTATGTATCGTAATCGGAAATCGGTACATTTTTATGACTATGCAAAATAATTGTGGATTTATTGTTGAAAATGTGCAGCAACAAATGAGTCCATTTAATCCAATTGAAGCAAAATTTCTAAATTATAAATGATAATAATAGTAGTTCCATTAGAATGGCACCAAAACTATTGACAGCAGGAAATTAAGTTTATGTGATGATGCATAAGCCATTTTACGTAGGTGCATATATGATAGTAATGTTGGAGCTTTATTTTCCATTGTTGGATATCATTCAAGTTAAAAAGCAAATAAAATTTTATGGATCAATGATGGTTGCATTTCAATGTTTTGTCATATTGAATTCATTCCGTAATCCTGAATGCAATAAAAAAAATTCGTCTATGAAAAAATCCAATTTAAACAGTCTTGCTCTTCTACAGAAAAATATAATACCACATCTATGCTATATGTATAAATAATTTTGCATTAAGTTTAATTCCGGATTTTATTTTTCTCTCTTTTTTCAGCTTCCAATTCACATTACAATGGAAATAAAAAAATATAGTCTGTTTTAAATACGATTTGCTGATATTGCTTCTTTCACATTTGTTGTGAGCACTATGATTTTGCGGGGATTAAAAAGCTGTTTATTATTCATTGGATTGATAGTACTAAAGTTTATGTCGTCTGTTAAATTCAAGTTAAAATTTGCATCGAAACTTGAAAAATGTTCAACTTAGAGATTGAAAATAAATTTTACTTTGCAATTGAGTTTCCAAACTTAATGTTAACATTTGGTAACTTTAAGATTTTTTTCTACTTAAAAAAATTCAATTAAAACTATATTTTGGTATATCCATGTGGAATTTTTAATACAATTATAAAAAAGAGGTAAAAGAAAAATATTTGAACTACATCAAATAATAAATAACGAATGAACAACAGAGAGTTTGAAGAAATATAAAAAATGTAGATTTATTATTTCTTCTCATTTTTTTTGGATAGGTGCTAATTTTCACATATAGCTACCGTTCACATTTTTCCATCGTTCGTCTTTGAAATGTATTGGATATATTCGAAGTAAATCAACAGACATACAACTTCACGTCTTCTTCTTATTTTGTCTTTGCTCATACAAACTTCTGCTCATTTTAAATTCATGAACAAATTACATTATTTCTTTATTTTTCTTTCTTTTGACTTCTTTTTACAGGGAATATTTCAAATGTGTGAGGTTTTTTGTAGCTTTAATGTTACTTTTTATGCCTGAATGATGAAAAATATTGATAAACAAACAAATGACGAAAGGTTTGTTCTTCGCAGTCAGTGAGCTATTTTATACTTATTATTTCTGCTTGCTTGTTTTATTGCTCATGCTCAACAACGAAATTTTTAATTTAAGTCGTGCAAAATATGGTTTGAATAAAAGAAATAAACCTTATATTTATTATATTTTTTTACATCGTTGAAAAGCTTGTTGTAAATTCAATACTTTTTTTGAATAAAACTTTTTAAAAGTTTCAAATAATTTTTTTTCTAGACACTTGCTGATCGATTTCTAAGTCTTTTGAAACATAATGACCGTAGTCTTTCGATTAAGTTACGAATTCGAATCTTATGCGTGGGTCCTAGATTTTAAAAGGTGTTTTGTTTCTCCTAAACAAATCCTATTCAAATCAAGGATCAACTGCATAGGTTAGAAATCCATATATTTTAAAATTAAAAGTTTTTGGAACAATTTAGAGTAGAATAAATATTTGTTGTTGTTATTAAGCGAACCAAAACTTCAAGTACTGCTAAACAAATTCTTGGGAATTGTTCTCAATAAAACAAGATATGAAAGGATTACCGATCTTCATACAGAAGCTAAAATACCGTCAATCGAAGACTTCTTCGGAAAGTTGCAAGCGAGCTTCAACAGTCCTCTTGCGTCACAAAACGCCGAATATATCAAAAATCAATTAAAACAAAATCTCAATTTAAAACAAAAACTAAGTGACAAAAGGCAAATTAAATGCCTGAAACCTTAATAAACAAAAAGCAACAAAATGTATAGAAACTTTGTACATATTTAAATTTAAATGTAAAAAAATCTAAGCGAACCTATAAGAGACCTGAATGACTATGGTCCCGTGAAGTCACAAATAAATTGCTACAAAATTACTCGTTAGGCACTAAATTTCTGATAAATATAATTCAATAATAATAAAGAGTAAATCGTGATAATTTTGATAAAATCGGATTTTTTTTTTAAATTAAAGATTTTTTGATTTGTTTCAAGTATTTTTTAAATCTTTCTTTTAAAACTTTCTTATTATTTAGGATATTTATTATTAAGAAAATTTTAAACGTATCCTAATCAATAAAACAAGAATGAAACTCTTTAAAATTTAAAAATATTTCGGCTTAATATAATTGTTCACGTACGTTCTTTAGTTATTTCAGTGACGTGGATCAATGTCCTTATAAGTCTGGATCATATTACAATAGATCCTTTTGATTGATCTTTAAATTTCATCAATTCTTTTAAAATTACTTGGGAGTAAATAGAATGTCTTTGCTTTTGGTAGTCAAATGGAAAAATAAAATGAAAGCTTTCAACAGACAAAAAGTGAATGAAGGAAATTAAAGTAAACAGCAAAAAAAGGAACAAGAAACATTTTCGGAAGCAGCACAGAATTCATTAAAAATTAATTATTTTTGTCTCTTTATCGATTTTCTTTCTTGCTTGTTTACTGTTTAAATTTAATATCAAACTTTGAGGTAAATTTGGATTTTTAAATAATAAGACACTAAGATTGTTCTTAAAATTTATAAAAAAGGACCTTAATAAAGATAATTAAAAAGAAAAAGAAGACACTAAGATTAATAGGAAAAAATCAGTAATAAAGAATTATTTTATCAGCTTTTTTTAAATGAGAGTGTACAGCAACAAATTGAAAATTAATTGAATTAAATTAAACTTTTACATTTTCGCTAATTGCTCAAGTATCATAATTCATAATGTTGCGATTTTTAAATAATAATATTTTCATTGCAATTACATTCTATAATTAAAATTAATAAACTTTATTATAGTTTGAGGTCAATTTATAACCAACCGGTATCATTAAGCACAATCAAAATATGTAAAATGAATGTGCAGTAGCAATAATGGTGAAAATTATGAATGTATGTGTGCTTCATAAATGCAATCAATTAATTTAATTTTATCAACTTATGCTGTTAAAAAATAAATTGATTCATTGGTTATAACAAAGAAGGAAAGCGCAACAAGCTGTTTTAATATCATTTGACTATTTAAAAATAATGTTTTAAAACTTTAAATTTTAAGGTGAGGAAAAATTAAAGACAGGCAAATTAGGATAAATTTATATAATAATAAAAGAAGCTTATTATTTTACCTCCAATTACAGATGTGCTGAGATTATTCAGCATATTTGCTGAAAAGCTTTCTATGGTTATCGTCGACAGTTTCACTTAAATGTTGTATTTAATTTTATCCACAACAAGAGTTTTTGTTAAGATTTTTTTATTGTTAAATTTCTAGAATTAGGCTTATCCAATTAATGGCAATTTTACGTATATTTTGTTTCATTTAAAGCAATTTTTTCGTATACATCTGGTTACTCAAGGATGGGAAATTTTTCCTTCTTATCACAGCATGTAAAAAAAATATAATTATTTAATCCAGTTTGTGCTTCTAGTTTTGTGCCATGCTTATAATAAGAGTAGATAAATAAAGAAAATAATTCACTTTCACTACCAAATCATTCAAAAAGATTTAATTATTCATTGTCGTTTTTTTTTTTTCATAAACACTTATCAATTAAGCTCGGTTATTAATTTAATAAATTAAAAGTAACAAATTTAATTTATTAGAGCACACATTTTTTTCTCTTCTTTTTCCCTCCACTGACTCCTCATACTTTTCTCATTCACTAAAATTTTTATTATGTGTTACATGTAAGCATGTTGTATGCATAATAAATGAGTCTTCAGTACAAGTTCATTCCTGGTCATTGTCTGGCCATTATTATGTATCAGTCCGATGTTTTACGTAATTAATCAAATAAAAAACAAAACTTTGTATTATATTTTTGTGTAAAAGAAACAAAATAATTATATTAAACTTTTTTTACAATTTCAATATAAAAAATCGCAATATTTTAAAAAAAATTATTTTACACACTTTAGCACTCAGTAATATAAACGCGCGCTATATCTATCACGTCTGAAACTATACTGTGATAACATTCAGTGAATAACAGATACAAGAAGATACAAAAGTTTATTTAACCATAGTCATACTTGTAGATATGTTGGTGAGAAAGAGACAATCATATTGCCATATTATTAGATGTTAATTTTTACGGATAATATTTAAATTTTAAGATACAAATAAAATTACCCAAAAATATTTCTTTATTAATTTTAAATTTTACTTTAATTTTATTATAATTTTCTGAACTTTTAAATCAGTAATATTAAATGGATTTCATTCAAAAAAAAAATCAATCTATCTCTTTCCAACATTCACTGCTTTCCAGTGTGACTCCATTTAGCATTTATTTTTAATAGGTGGTTGCTACGAAAGGCGGAACTTGCTCACGCTGGAATGCTAGGAAGCTAACTAGATATGAAAAAAGTTTTGCAGCAAAAGGAAAAATCGTTTTCATTCTGAGAGAGAAATACTTTTATTCGGTACACAAAGCAAACAAATAAACAAACATAAATAACTTGATACCATAAATATGTCTTGACTTGTGAAAAACAAAAGTACATAGTACATTGCTTAGCATTGCTTGGAAATATAATGTTATGAGGAACAGGAAAAATGTAAAAATAAACGTAGAGGTAAAGAAATTGAAGGAAATACTAGGAAAAATATGAATATAACTAACTGAGAGAATTATACACATGGAAAAATGCAAAAAAAAATATACAGAGAAAGTATCTCAATGAGAAAAATGATGTTTCCTTTCTATTACTTGTTCTCCATCTCTCTTATATTCGAGAAAAAATATTGCTTTCATAATTTTTTATCTACGATGTATACAGCAAAAAGATCTTTATAAAAGCATCAACAGCAACAACGGAAAGAGAATCCCGAGGAAAATGAAATGAGAGAAAAGATATATTTGAAGCACTTTTGCCATTAAAACACAATGAAATAAAAGAATATAATGAAAATCTAAACAAGTATGCATTATCTTTGGAAAAACAGAATCAAAAACGCATCACGCGTTTGCAATATAATATGAAAGTTCTTCGCTTATTTGTCTCAGTTTGATAATAGATACCATGTTATTGGAATAAGTTATTAAATTAGCATTAGATTTGGTAAATGATAAATCATGTTAGTGCAAGAAAACAGTAAAACGTATTAATCATATATTCATGTGACCAGAAATCGTATGACGCGGGTTCAAGTCCTTGATTTGAAGTTAATTTTTTTTTCTTAAGTTTGTCATCTGGGCGATTCTCCAGATCGATGGAATTTTTTGAAATGAGTTTTTATAATTCATTGTCAAATATGCTAATATCATAAATATATATATTCTGCAATTTCACTCAATCTAGAATGATCTGAAAGTTCAAAATATTTTACAATCATCAATAATAATTTACTTTTATTAAAGATTAATTAACAGAATTTGTATAAAGTGCAGCTTGAAAGTACAGAATTTAAGAATTTTCGATTCAAAAATTTTATAATATTATCACATATTAGGAAAATTAAAGCTCATGCGTTGCTTTATGACAGTGTTGTCTCAACCGCGTGCCGTAGAAATTTTTTCGACTCTGGTTATTGCTTACCCCTTAGGTGTGCAGTGGCTTAAAAAGTTTAAGAACCACTTCTTAATGAAATAAAATTTACGTTCGAGAATCGATGATTCTTTAAATTTTACAAAATACCATAATTGAGCACAAACCAACGGATCGGCGAATCAAAATATCTTAACCCTGATCTTAACAAATAATACAACTTATGCTTTGATAAATAAATTAAGAGATAGGAAATAAAAAAAAAAAATTACAGCAGATAAACTGAAAACCTTGTTAGGTTTAATGGAAAATTTCGACAAAAACTCATTTGGAGTTTAGAGTCACGAGCTATCGAGTCACTTCAGCTTATTATTACCGATCATTATTAAAGAAATCTTAAGCCTTCGTAAATTATTATAAAGAAATTGGTTAACGTTTAAGCAATCCCTAAAAGATTACCCTGTTTTTTCGTTATAAGCTACTACTCGTTACTAAGCGACTAGCTTAGTAAAGTTTTTTTCAACTTGAAAATTTTTTGTAATCTTTACTAAGCGACTACCAAAAATAGCCAAAAATAAAGTATAATTAATCTATGGTACGCCAACGAGTCCTTATTTTCGATATTGATTTTTTTTTTGGTACCTTATTTTCGAGCATGAGTTCAAATTTTTTTTTCACGTTAAATTATTAATGTCTAATCTCTTTAATTAATGGTTTACATATTTGTTTTTCATCATCAAAATGCTAAAAGAATCCACTCAACTGTAATGAATCATTACTGATTTGCTAAACAATTAATACAAGTGAATTAATGACATTTTAATTTTCAATGTAAACAACAACAAAATTTTTTGAATATTTTTGAAAAAAAATCATATTAAACTAATGTTTCCTGCATTTATCATCGATTAAACGATTAAATGAGTGTTGATTAACATAGTAGAAGGATTTGATTCCTAAATAATAAGTGAATTAAGTCAAAAATTGCGAAAAGTTAAAATTTTCATAAAAAATATGATTTTCGAGATTGCGAAATTTTGTTCGAAAAACATTCGAAACAAGTTTAAACTTATTTTGCTCCAACGTTGACATCGTCTCTTGGCATATCATAGTAATTAATCTTTTCCAACTTTCTAAGTATCAGTTTCAATACCTTATGACATTGTCAATGAAATGAAATCGAGAAGATAGCAAAATTTCTTTAATTAAGTTAAAAAATTCAAAATTTTCAATTTTTTTACTAAGCTACTATTCGTTACTAAGCTACTAGTGAGCCAAAAAAAACACTTTTTTATTCTTCTAAGCTACTAGCTTATAACAAAAAAACAGGGTAAGTCTTATTAAGACCCCAATACCTCTCAAAAGCATGTCCATAAAAAACAACAATGAAAACATTGTCATTTCGTTGTAAACAAGATTTAATAATGACATTGTTAAATTTGTATGGTTAAAAAAATTATGTATTTTAAAGATGGTGATTGTTAATTTTACAGTGACCATTGTTAATAGTAAATTTTAAAATTAAGCAACCCCAAATCATGCGAGTGTTAAAATTTTATACAAAGTTACAATGCATTTTATAAGTGCCCTTTCATCAGTTAAAAGAGTTTTATTTATTGTAAATTAAGTCTTTTCAATAGGTTTTCCTTGTTCAGCTTTAAATTTTCTTATGACTTTGACTTAGTTTTGGCTTAGATATAGTGTTTTTTTTTTAAGAAAACATTTATTATAGTGAAAGGGATGCTTTTTTGCAGTGCTAGATACAAAATAACCTGCAGCGTTTTTACAGTTCATTGTTTTAATATAATATAAAATAACAATTGCTATTTGAAAGTGCTTGTGGATATAATTTCATCAAAATTTGAATGTTGCTGGTTTTATTTGGTATAAAACTGTTATCAAACTTCAAAAAAGCTCTTAAGTCATGATAGAGTTTTTGTCGTTAGTTCTTAGTTTAAAGATTTGAATCCAAACATAATTGCAAAGAATTTTTCGCATCGGACTATTTGAAAAAAGCTTTAATAATTCTTTTATAGTTGGCTATCAATAGATAAATTTATGAACCTTGAAACTAATGAATATTTGAAATAAAAGTAAATCCGCTGTTGGTTAAACTCAAATTTTAATTAATTACACAACAGTTTTAATTATATTTCAAATCTAATTTAGATCAACTCAATTTTTAATTGAAAAATTTGCATGTTGCTCTCAAATATATTTATTGAAAAATAAAATCTATTGTTAGATTCCAATTGGATGAAGGACTATAGTACCGTTATTAGCTTTTATATCAAAATCTATTAATTTGTATTGGGGTTTTCAGAAAAAAAAATTGCATTTAAATTTTTATCCACCAATAATATCCTCACCAAAATTCAGGTATGTAAAATTGTAGAAAGCTATAAAAAAAATATCAAATATCATCGAAAGGATGTATAAAGAAAAGCCAGGAAATTGGAAAATGTCTAATAAATACTCTTAAAATGGCATTAAATTTGAGCAATAAAAAATATTATATGGCATCGTTAAACGAGCTCTGAGTTCTGTTTTTTTCTTCTGTATCTAAACGCTGTTCATATCATCCATTCATATAATGCTCTCCATGCATAGAGTCTGTCTGTGCTGAACACATATACGTACATTAATTTGTCCATAAGCGAAGATGCTTCCTTTTCTTCTTTTTTTCGCAAATACCAAGCTTTTTGTATGAAAAATTTTTGGAATGAGAAAAAGAAGGATTGGTGACAATTTTTTGTGCTGTGTGCTTCCTCCACTAGATATATGAAACATAATATGCCATAGCAAACGCGCTGAATACATAGAGCTGCATTATTTTTCACACATTACACTGTCAAAATATTCTTTAAGAGAAAATGAAATGAAAATGTAACACTAAAATGTTTATCACTGTGGAAAAATGTAGAA